GTTACTAATCAAATTCGCTGACTGTCTCGATTAGCCTTTTGGTTATTACAGTTAGCTAGTACCTTCTTTTCGTAACTTTATCTTTATTTTATATTTATGTATGTATTACTACCGGTACTGAATAAAATTGTATTGTATTGTATTGCACAAACGACAATATGGAACAGAACAGTTAATAATAGAGGGGGACTTGGAAATAACATTCCATTAGATTTAGGCTTAGAACATGATAATCACTTGTTGAAAGACATGCTGAGGGGCTTAGGATCAAATATCTCCACCACAACAGTTACAAGAATTTCAAAAGCATTTTTTGTATTGAAAGAGTTATGCAAAAAGCTGGATCAAGAACTTGACATAAGGACAGTTTCTGGGGAGCATACATGTTCAGATAAGTCGAGAAATGAGATCATTTCCAAATTTTCCAAGAAATTATTTGCAAGATTTAGACACTGTTTCTTTATTCAACTGGATAAATAGCCATAAGAAAAATGTTTCATCCGGAGTTAGACCAATATAATCTATTTCATACTAAGATGCAAGGTGAAAAGAAAGGATCATTGACACTTCTTGACTTGATGGAACGATTTCCTTTTTAACCCATTAAGTGAGGAAATCATTGACACTTCTTGACTAACAGTTGAATTATGGAACAATTTCCATTTTACAGGGAGGCAGATAGTCTGATTAGTTATATCACTTATATGGTAACTATAGTAGGGTGGGTGCATTGCCACTTAATTAATGGGTTACAGGGTGCATAGGCAGATAGTCTGATTATATAGTAACTATATTAAGGTGCGTCGAGGTGCATTGCCACTTAATGGTTAACTTAACAGGGTGCATAGGCAGATAGTCCGATTAGCATAGGGAGACAGTTAAATTGGTTACCAGTACGGCAAAGAATCGTTTTTAAAATTTTAACTTTAACACGCTTCATGATGTGAATTCTCCTCAATACTTAAAATATATGCTGTAGCTTTACAATCCTCCATGCAGTCTCCGTTCATCCTCAAAGACATTACTTTCTGTTCCCAAATTTTAATTGAAATTGAATGGTGCTAGAGCTTTCTCTGTTTGTGCTCCTGTTCTGCGGAACAATTTGACAGATGATGTCAGACAGTCGAAATCAATTAATTAATTAACCCATTGAGCCCCAGTGTGCACTTCATTTTTTTACTTGTCTAATTTTATTCGTCAAATTGTTGTCAATGGGGGAAGCTCTGCAGCTTAATGAGTTAACGTTTTGAAGTAAACTCAAAACATTTTATAAAAAACAAGCCTTTTTAACTTAAGCCCTGTTTACAATAACGCTCGATTTTTGGTATTGCAACACTTTTTTTGGTTTAACATAATAAAGTAGGGTGCATCAGGGTGCATTGCCACTTAATGGGTCAATTGACCCATTAAGTGGCAATGCACCCTGATGCTCCCTACTTTATTATTTTACTCTGTCTAATGACAGGCAATCTTACTCATCAGGGGGAAAGTGCTTCCACACAATGAGTTAATAAATGTTCATACTTCTGACTCAAATTCTTCAACATCAGTTTCGCTAAGTTCCACCAGTTCTAATGGAATATTAGCCAGTAATTCATCATCTTGATCAAATCCCCATGACCAAAAAGTGAGCAAGTCATTCTTTTCATCATCAAATTCATCATTGTCTTGGAAATCTGTGTCTTCAAAAACCTGGGTAATTGCCACAAGGATTTCCGTGGCAATTTGTGGATGCCATATATCAACATATTTGTGTATATCGCTGATTGTAAATAACTTGTCAATATTGTCCAACACTTGTTGAATTTGATGTGGACCAAAACCAAATAGAAAGTCTAGTGAGGTAACAAACGTAGACATCTTTTCATACACATGGCTCATAACATCCTTTGTTACAAATTATTCAATATATTGCAATTTATCTTGCAGTTTATTCACTTGGGCAGATGTTACATTTCTCAAACAAATATTGTTAGTTGTGGGAACATTACTTGAACTACTTGATGGCCAAAAACAAAACTTACAAACTGTGCCATCACAATGGCAATGTCTTTGACAGATGTCACAACATTCATGAAGTAATAAAGGCTTCTCTATATCATATAGCTCTGATTGAAAATAAGACAGCAGCATTGTTCGTCTGCAAACTGTACTGTTTCGGGCATATTCTGTCATTGGTTCATCACAATACTTCAACATAACATTTGAATACAATTTGACAGCTTTGCACATATCAGAACAATCTCTACCAGCTCTACCACTTTCTTGCAGATATGCTTCAACATTTCTACATGGACCATAATGCACAATGGATTTTACCCCTTGACAATTGATCCCCATCCCATATGCTATTGTTGCATTCAAAACCCTTATATGTCCATTTGGTATTGAAAAATCTTTCACAATATTATCACGATTCAATTCATCAATCCTGGAATGATACATTTCAACCATTCCACTTGTGATATCACCAGTTGAAACATACATATCTTCACCCATTTCCTCTTTGAATACACCATATATGTGTGAACAAATTTTAATAGTTTGACAATAGATTATGATTCTTTCAAAACTAACTGTTTTTTCTTTCAGTTCTTTTGTAATTGGACCAAATGTCTGATGTGCACCACCAGTTACAGCCTGGACAGAATATGCTGTATTTTTTCTATTTGGACTTTGATTTATAACCTCACATGTGTCCATTTCCAATGCCCGAACTATTTTATTCTTTGTTGCCAAGGTTGCAGTGGCAGTGAGGGCCAGGATTGGTATTTTCTTTAGCAGTGAACGCATCTCATTTATCCTGGAAAACCATTTGCGAAAAGCTTGTTCTCCTTTCTTGACTGCATATCCCCTACAAAAAAAATGAAATAAATAATTAACATTTACAAATCAAACATTCACAGACTATCTAATGCTTTTACTATAAGATACCCTTATACTTTAATATTTTATACAATCTTACTGTAACATTAATATATTAAATCCTTATTAATATTACTGTAACAAGTCAAGTATGTCAACAAAATATCATCATTTATCATCATTAATAAATGACTAAGTGTTGGCAGTACACAGTATAAAAAAAAATCAAGTAAGCAATTGAAATTAGCATCTTAGGCCTACTCTGGGGCGGTAAATCGCCTTAAATCGCTGCGATATAATGCGATTTTGGGCGATTTCAGGCGATTTAAGGAAAAACTGGGACTTTCAAGCACTGCGATTTAATGCGATTTTAGGCGATTTAAGGCGATTTAAGAGAAAATTCTAAATTTTAGGGATTGCAATTTAGACCTGTGTTTTCAAGGTAATTGAATTTTATATTTTGCTCCGGTTTCCTCCCACAAGGCAAAATATGGCAGGGTGGGTTAGAATAAATACAGTTAGAAAAGTGATATCATATTCTCATTGTTATAAAGATATATAGTCTAGACTAACATAAGTAACCCTAATACTTTATGTAAGCGGTGACTGAAAAGCCCCAAAGGGGAGTGAGCTGAATAATGTAATGTTTTCACACACATTGACACATATGCATTGTATGAAACAAAATACAATTATTAGAACATGTATGTACATTTTATATAAAGCTAGGTTAATAATTATTGTATTTAATCCGAATCATATATAAAGCTCAATATTCGTGAACTTTTCATCCATTGTCTTATTTAGAAGCCATTGGAGTTCATCTTGTGGGGTCATGTGGTCATGCATTCATGGCTACATTATATACCACAAATATTGTAAACAGTTAATAAATATACTCTACTTAAGGGGCATGTACGGTACATAATTGCAAAATACCAACCTATAAAGGGGCATGTACGGTACATAATTGCAAAATACCAACCTATAACTAAACTACACATGTCTTAGGCTAAACTTTAATATTATTAATTGCAAAATATAATAGATATTTGATTTCCAAAAGAACCACAGCCAACAGGGAGTAGAAACGCACAATATATTTATACAGTTACAATAAGCTATATTCATATAAATTACCTTGTCACCCTTGTAAGTGAAATTGTCTTGTTTTGTATCTTGTCAACACTTCTTTATTTAGCTTGCATTTTATTTAAACTGTTTCAACAAACATGTTTTATAAAATTATGTTTGATATCTATATCCAGAAACAGTTTGAAACAGTATTGTCACGCATTCGGAAACTGTCGGCGTAATGCCGTCATGTTTAATTTACATGAAGTACATCGCATATAAATGGTCGGAATTCTAAATTATTTTAAAAAAATACTAAACAAAATGATATTAAACAAATGGCACACCGCGCGCTACATCGTGGTTTTAAGTCTTTTACCTGATAATTTGTCAAGTGTTCTGCAAACAAGCAACAACAAAGATTGTATGGTATGTACGATGTAATCATTGTTTTACTGTTTATTTTATATACAGGTCTGGAAAATTTAATAGACGAGAGTTGCAAAACTTGCAAATCTCGCTCATATTAAACCTCACGTATGTTTTTCGTATGATAGCCAATATAATTATAACTAGCAGCTAGAGTATAACCATGCACATGTCGAAGTACAACCATTGTATACAATGCAGTGCTCGATCTACATGCAACAGTGCACAAATTGCAGGATGGCCTTATTATATACTCGTACTCATTGACTCTCATTATCACAGTCTCCTACTGTTGTTCTAACAGCAATTAGGCTTTGAGAAGCCATGTATATTATAGATTAATTTGTAGCCCAGCCACCATAGTCCATATAAATTGTAGCCCAGCCTCCACATTTTACACCAATAATGAAATTAACCAGTAACTCAATTTTGTTGCTGGTAGTGTAATGGAATCTATGGGTCTTTCATATCCCAGAATTGCCTAATTATTGTAAAGTCTGCATAAAGCAGAAAAAGGCTCTGTTTTTATTAACAACCGGAGCCTATTGAGTGACTAAATATTGTCAGCCTAATCCACTTATTTGATTTATCCATGTTGCGT